TTTCCTTTCCTTTCCTTTCCTTTCCTTTCCTTTCATTTCCTTTCCTTTTCTAGTCAATCCTCAAGAAACTCTCAAGATTAACGTCTCGGCTAGAGATAACGACTGTGGGCGTCTTCGTATTATGAGGCACAAATGTGACTGCTGCAATGATTTGCGGCGCGCCATGCTGGAAATAAATGCCCATAAACACTCGTGAACTGCAGGCTCGCACGGGCGCGCGCTCCCGTGGCAGACGTGCACGACTTTGTGGTGCATTTTCGGGGTGCTGTAAGGTGGGAGGGGGGTTTAGGCAGTGGTGGACAAACTGAAAAGAGGAGGGAAAAAAATGTGTAAATAAAGCAACCCTTACCCCCGGAATGAGGCGTTACCTCTCAGACTTTCTCGATCAATCATAGGGGACAGTGGCTTCTTTTGATAAAAAAACCCAAATTGTCATTGGGCAGATCCAATCATGTGACAAGCAGCACAGTCTAATTCCGACCATGTCCTCCTGAAAGCAATAGTTTATGGCAGAGGTCTCCCTATGACTATAACCAGTTAAGTAGTTTATCAAAATAAACCTCGCAAACATATATTTATATATAGAGAGATATATTTTGTCTTTATAATTCTTCTCTCCTCTGAATACCCGCGAGCTTTCCGAGACAAGCAGGAGGAGATGAATTACGAATTTGGGCGAGAAAGTGGTTTTATCAACAGCCAGCCGTCGCTCGCTGAGTGCCTGACATCTTTCACTAACCCTGTCGGTGATGCATTTCAAAGTTCATCAATCAAGAGCTCAGCGCTTTCACAGTCGACACTGATTCCTCCTCCTTTTGAGCAGACCATCCCCGGCCTGAACCCGAGCGTCCACCCACGCCACAGCCGCTCCAAGCAGGCTCAGAAGGGCTTCAGCCCGCTACAGGCTGTGTCCCTACCCCCGGAGTACCCGTGGATGAAGGAGAAAAAAAGCATCAAGAGGAACCAGGCTGCTTCTGCTTCTTCATCTTCTTCTGCTCCTGCTCCTGCTCCTGCTCCTGCTGCGACGACGGATGACTCCTCGCCACTCTACTTCTCCCCCCAAGGCAAGACATGATGATTAATAACCTCCATGTAAAAAAGGCTCCTTATTGTCTGCGGATTCTCCCTCTGCAAGTAGCTCCATCCTGGGGCCTTGTGCAGCGTGGGCGTCCCTTGTGAGCCAGTCTAGGATTTTGATTTAAGTATTCTTAATCTCATCAAGTAACGCACTGACTTGTGATGCAGTGTAAGAGTGCTAATGTTTGACAGTAATGGAGAGTGATAGATTATTCTTACACGGGCCAGCAGCTGGCATGTTCATTAATCTTCACCCTCCGTCCTGTCTTGTCCACGCAGACCCATCATATTCTGCCTGGGGCCCATAAATCTTCCCAGTCCTGGTGTTTGCTTGCCACAAGTTTCACCCCATAGCGCTTTTTCTTCCCTCCAAACACACCCCTGTTACGAATGTTTTAAATTATTATATTTGCAGTGGATTTTCTATTAATAATTTCTTTAAATTGTTTATTTATTTTAGGTTCACCTGATACACCAGAGAGTGGTGCTGGCGATGGAGGGTTATCAAGGAGGCTGAGGACTGCGTACACCAACACCCAACTTCTGGAGCTGGAGAAGGAGTTTCATTTTAACAAATACCTGTGCAGACCGAGGCGAGTGGAAATAGCTGCTTTGCTGGATTTAACGGAGAAGCAGGTGAAAGTGTGGTTTCAGAACAGGCGGATGAAGCACAAGAGGCAGACTCACAGCAAGGAGAACAGGGACAGCGAGGGGAAATACGCCTGCCTGGACGACGGGCCGGAGGACGAGTTGGAGCAGGCTACAGAGGGCAGCGCCGCCGGGACGCTCTTTGAGAGGGAGAGGTATTTCCACCAGAATACCTTGACTTCACAACACTGTCAGAACGCACACAATGGGGAGAGCCAAAGCCCAACTGTTACCCCTCTGAGCAGCAATGAGAAAAATCTGAAACATTTTCCAAACCCGTCAGCCATTGTGCCCATCTGCGTGTCCACAATAGGCCCGAACAATGACGATTCCCCGGACCTGGACGCCTCATTTCGGGATTTCCAAGTTTTCTCATCCTTGCCCTCTTTCTCACCGAGTTTGTCAGAATCAGCTCAAAGTCCCCTGCCTTTACCCTGCGAGACTTTCGACCTCTTCTCAGAAACACTCACAACAATCGACCTGCAAAACCTGAGTTATTGAAATGTTTCGACTTTGGTATTTGTAACTCAGACGGTTGTGCTCTAGTTTAGGGCGTCAGGGTGGAAATTTTTAATAGATGAGGTAAGTTAAAGCGAAATAAGCAAAGCTTTTTTTTTTCTTTTTTTGTTGCCTGTATGGACTGTTAAAGTAGGCTGGTAGAAGACACAGTGCACATTTATTTTTATATGGATTTGGACTATAATTGAGCACAATATTTTTATTGAAATAAAATTTTACATTGATTGGACTCAGATGCGTTTTGGGTTTTTTTCCCCCCCCTATATGCCCACAATAAGCAACTCTAGAGAGCTTATTGATTTTACCTCAATAAATGAAAATTATTAAGAGCATCAGCCATAAAATGAAATGAATTAGATTTTCAAAAATGAGAAAAAACAATATAAGCTATATAAAGGGATTATTTTACCATTAAATTAATTAGCCTGTGAATGCACTGAACACATATAAACTAAAATTAAAAGCTGTATAAATGTGTAATTTTTGTTGCTGTATTACATTTTTATGTTCATAGATTGTGCTGAGAGAATTTCACCAGCGTGGCCGTGGGTCTGGTAGCATATAGTCCACAAAAAGACACACACAAAAAAGGAGCACTGCGAGAGATTCATTGCCTCTCCATACTTAAACGCAGAAAAAGAAAATTTGCTGTGTGAATTGCCTGCTAGGAGTCCCAGGCCAAAAGCTATGACTTTTCCTGGCTTTCTAATTACGTTTTATTGCCTATAAAACTCACAGGACTGAGGGTGCTTGTTTATAGCCCGAGCCGCAATGTAATACAATCTCTTTGAATTAAGACGTGCGCCTTGCCCCATTGTGGTTTTCAAAACTTTTTATGATGTAAAATTAAGTAGGACTCATTCAAAGCAGCAGACGTAAGGCATTTTTTCCAAATTGATATATAAATTTATGTAACTGAGCCTATAAATTAATTGGATGATGTAACTATAAAACGGATTCGACTGCGAACAATGGTCACATATCAGTCAAACGGCTGAAGGTATTTATGTATATGAAGCGTTTATTATTATTTTTTTAGTAAATCATCATGAAATTGAGGTAAATTTATGTTGGTCTGGATCAGAGGTAGTTCGACCCCGCTAAAGGAATTTCTCACACCGACCAGTTGATCGTCTGCTCGACTTAAAGACGCTTTTTCCACAAGCCCCCCCCCCTCCATCCAACTCCCATTTTTTATATACATTATTTACTGTTTAGAATTTAAAAAAAAAATGTTTGGTGAAAAACCAAAGTCATTCTTCGGTGCTATATAAAATTAACCACCACAGTGATTAATTATTCTGAAAACAGTCCCCAGGCGGGAGATATTCATTTATATGCTCAGTGTACCTGCACACACACACACACACACACACACACACACACACACACACACACACACACACACACACACACACACACACACACACACACTCTGCGTTTTCGAGACCGCACTGCCGGGCTAAGCGCCTCATAGCATCAATAAAAAAGAATGTGAGGTGAGGCGGTGAACTGCTCGTCCTCCTGAAAATGGTGATGCTGATTCTGCATGTTTTGAGAACAAGGACAAAATCGTGAAAGCCTAATATTAAACCCAGTAGGCCCAGAAGCAGTCGGGTGTGGACTCATAATTGTAGATCCAGTGTTAACCAAGCAACACCTCCTTTTCTAAAAGCACAACAATGGTCCACATGATCATCTCCCACCTTTTATTTTACACTCACCAAATAAAGTCTTATCATACAAAAACGATAAACTAAACTATGAATTAATCCGTGTTTTGCGTGTTTTAAACAGCTAGAGTGCAGTGTGCACTCAGTGGATTGCGACCCCTGTAATGGGGGTAATAAAAGGGAAAGGAACCAAAGGCGTTGGGCTGTTTTTGAGAGGACAGGCCAGTAAGATAGAGCTTTATGGAAACTAGATACATGGCTTTGCCTGTAAGAGCCCTCCCCTGCTCGCACACATGCGCTGGCACACAGAGGCACACAGAGGTCAGAGGTCAAAGCGGCTCTCCTCTAAAGCTGGGAGGAACTACCGGCAGGTCAGGAGGGGGTCAGGTTTTGAATGGCCGCAGAGCATTTGAGGCTCATAAACAACGTGCTGGCTGCTCGGATGAAGAGAAACAGGAAGTGACGTCAGAAAACGTGGAAAGGGTTTAATTTTGCGTTATGATTTGTAACAACTCTAATACTGAGAACTTCAATCGTGATTCTGAACAAAAATCCTTGTTTAACGTTTAATGATCATGTGATCTGTTTGCAGAGTCTGACTGGCTGTGGCAGCAAAACTACCTGCAGCCAAGCCAACACCTGAGACTAAAGCTGTGCCACAAACGCCTCGACACTTCTGGCTCCTTCCTCCAAAACAACAGAGTATACAGTTCAAAGGCTCAGTCTTTTAACCCAGATTGGGTGATACCGCCTGTCAAAAAAGACGAATAAATGACTGACATCTTTATAAACAATGTGACAAAACAAAAAGAAAAGGCAATTTTCCGTAAATGCACCAGAGGCGCTGACTTAACTTGATGTAAGAAGTCATTCTTTCCTGGTTCTGTCGTTTTCTTTTAAAATAACCTGCATATTTGTTGTTTCTTCTTCCTTTTTAAAATGTCAAATATATAGTCAGAGTTCAAATCAGTGCAGCAGAAGTAGCACAGACTCCCGTGAAACATCTGAGGAAGCTGGCACAGAAGCATTCAGCATTATATGATTGACTTTTTCATCTATTAATGATCCCTGTTTTGGATTACAGCCCTGACATATTCATAGACTCAAAGCTTGCATCGCTGTAAAACAAAAGACGCCCCTAATGTGTTCAGCGAGTCAGCCGTAGAGAGCAGACTTAAGTGCCAAAAAATATGATCTGGAATCAATCAACAGTATGATCGCGGCGTTATGCTCGGACTTTATTATTCCATAAAGACCCGTTGCTCCATTAAAGCATCAATTTCCTGTCTACGGTGGCAGTCAAAAAATAAATAAAGGCCAATAAACGTCAACGTCAGTGAACGCCGAACACCGAGCAGGCGGCTCTGAGTGTTTGTCCTGCAGCGGAACTGTGTGGTCACTGATAAATAATTAGCAGATTAACTTCCGTATATCTTCGAGCCCGAGCTGCTGCTTCCGTGTCGCGCAGGCTAGAGTTTCCCTTCCTCGGGCTGGACGCTCAATCGCTTCAGGCTAGAAACTGCGGTAAGAATGCGTGCGATCCCCGAGGAGTTAACGACGCTCATTTCAGGTAAAGCTGTCGATTCATAGTTGCCTTTGGAGTAGAGGAGAGTTTATTTCCGCATCTTATAAAGACTTGTTTTACTTTAAGTCTGGTATATAACAAACTGCTTTTCTTTTTAAAAAGAGGAAGCACAGTTTCCCCCCTTTTTTTTCTGCTATATTCACTCAAATCGACGGTTGTGCTGGCATTTCATTAAAAAAACCAACTCGCTTCAAGTCTCAAACTTGAGGCATGAGCTGGACGTCAAAGCTGCAAACTGCTCCTTTGTTTATGTTGTGGATGTGCATCAGTGGTGTGGCCACTTGACTGCTATCAGCCATCAGAACATGTTAATGTTTTACCTCTTGTGCTGTTCAGATCTCGAAAACTACCTCATTGATGGGTTGAAGGCAGAAAATCTAAGCAAGAAGGCAAAAGAGAAGAGGGAAGCCTTCATCAAGAGGATAAAGGAGGTCAAGCAAGGGTATGACTCATGACTGGAACCAGCATGCATGAAAATACTCCAGTTTTGATTTGCTTTGCAGGTGCATAAGTTGTTGTGATTAACTTTTATTTGCCGTTTTTTTCTCCCAAACAGTTTTCCACAAGATTTTAAGGACAAAGGTAAGTTGTCTGTCTGACGAATAATCCTGTAGGTGTGTTTTGACATTAATGCGAAGGCCCACAAGTCGATTACAAACCTATCCCACAAATTTGAAAAAGCAAGGGCAAAAAAAGAGTCACGTTTCATAATAAACTGGCCACATAACACCTCTAACACCACACAATGGCAACTTCTGTGTTACACTGTGTGCAGTTACTTCACAGCCCTCTGTGTTTACTGCAGTAGGTGGAAATGACTCAGATGACGAGGAGGAAGTTGACAGCAACAACGACGGGGGGTCGCTGCAGTCAGAGCGCACGGACAAGGATGATGATGGTTTCGAAGGTGAGCCACAAACACTTAGCAGACAAACAGAGTTGACTCGCTAACTGCTCGCAAGCTGCGGATTAGAGCACCGAAAGCTCCGTGTTGGCAGGAAAGTATACAGATCTTTGCTCTGGCTCCTTGGAGAAAGCGACTTTGAGTGGCACAATGAGTGAGACATTCCAACTGTAACTTGGCAACATACTTGGGAAGCAATTTGGGTGCACAACTGCTACTCCTACCACCTCCCTCACCCCTCCCCTTTGATGGCTAAAGCACACTTTATTGCTCTCTCAGCCACAGTCTAGGGGCTTAAAATTACTGCTGTGGCTGCAGGTTATGACACAAAAACATTCCCCGATAAACACTAGCTTTAATCCTGTTTATTCCATTATCCAAACTGTGACAGATTTTTGCATTTGCAGTTTTTTTTTTGCCCCCCCGTTTTTTCCCACCACAGAGTATCAGGGAAATCCTTATGAAATGGTGATTGGGGGACTGGGGTTTATGGCCTATAAGCAGCTGCCAGTTTTATGGCTGCTCTTTCACACAATGCAACTTTGACACGGCATTTGAATATTTGAAGTTAGACAGAGCAAGGGAAACCTTCTCCAGTGAGAGTAAAATATTACTCAGAGTGGCTTTGCTATTCAATTTAATATCGGTTAAACAAATGCATGATAGCAAAGTAGCTCATAAACCTTCTGGTCATGTTTAACTTTAAGACCCCCCGCCACAAAAAACAACAGTCAGTTATTAAGGATTCAGCAGCAATGATGACGGGTCACATATTTGGATTTCCTTAATTCTTTTTCCAGGTTCCCAGCAGTCCCCACCTGTGGCGGCCCAGGACCTGCCATCTGTCTTTAAAGCAGGATATCTTGAGAAGCGCAGAAAGGGTTGGTGCTCTGCTTATAAGATATGTACAAGGCAGCTTTTCCAAGGGGGAAAAAGCTGTAAAGCAAAAGGAGGCTGCCTGGTTACTGAAATATGCAAGCTCTCGAATATCCTTGGGCCAGTGTGTTGTTTTTTTTTGTTTTTTTTTAACCTTTAAAAAGAATCTTACATAATGCAAAACATCAAAAATCTGTAAAAAGTTAGTTGACTCTACTGTGTTGCACACAATACCCTAAATAAAGACTGTAATCTAATACACATTTTCTTTACAGTTCAGGTATTTTTGTCCATTCTATATATAAAAATCACAATGCTTACAGCCATCAAAACACACTGGAAAATTCTCTGTGCATGTGGTTCTCTCCCTCCACAGATCACAGCTTTTTTGGTACTGAGTGGCAGAAGAGATGGTGTGCTCTGAGCCATCACACCTTCTACTATTACGGCAGTGAGAAAGGTACTTTCTTCATTTTTAAGTGGGTGAATAATTTCCCTTCCCCCCCCCCCCCCCCTTTTTAACAGTATTGATGCAGTTATTGCATCTGCACCAATAATGATGATGCTTTAATTTTCTAAACCAGACAAGCAGCAGAAGGGTGAGTTCAGTATCGATGGGTACGGTGTCAAAATGAACAACACCTTACGCAAGGACTCGAAGAAAGACTGCTGCTTTGAAATTTTGGCCCCAGACAAGCGCGTCTATCAGGTACGCTCGTCTCTCGATGGCTGCTCGAGTTTCTTTCAGTCGTTGCCTTTTTTAAATGCCGTTAAACTGAAATAACCAAAACCAAATACGAACTTGAGACGTGACATGTTTAAAACTTGGCACAGTGTGTCTATCCGTGCACTTCAGTAAATCTTTATTTTAATGCTTTTCCATTTGACACTACTGCCTTTGCAGTAGCTCAGCCTGACACGTACTGAATAAGGCTTAATGAGTGTTTCTAACATTCAGACTTCCATGTGGAACGTTTTACTATGCATAAATGCAATATTATTTGCTTATGTTAATTAATATATATAGAGCTCCTCCTTATTGCACTTTCACATTCATTTCTCTTCCCCCTTTCATGACAGTTTTGTGCGTCATCACCGAAGGAGGCGGAAGAGTGGGTGAAACAGATAGACTTTGTTTTGAAAGGTTTGAACTTTGCCATTCATAAAATAAAATAAAAAACCATTTATTATGCTCTTTAAAGTTAGTAGCACCTACTGGGGGAAGAAAATTTGCATTTATCATGCCTAGCAATAAAATAAATTTTGCTCTCCTGTTTGTAGATATGTCGGGCATCATCCCAGAAGACGACGAGGAACAGGAAATGTACGATGACGTAGGGACTATAGCTCAGCCAATCGATGAAGACATCTACGAAGAGCTTCCAGGTCTGACCATGTGTTACATTACAATGATAACCTCTAACAAAGTGCGTGGCTCTTGTTTGATTTGATCTGATTTTATTTTTTATATCGTTTTGTTTCTCCAGAAGAAGAAGTTCCGGCTGTAGCAAAGCCTCGTCCTCCAAAAATTGAGCCGGCAAGCAAACCTGTTCCTCCTCCTGCTGCAGGTACACAAAGCGCTTACATTTGTCAATCCCAAGTGGTGTATTTAGTGAATTAGAATGTAGTAAGTTTCTTAATAGACAGAAGAAACTTTAAAAAATGATTCGCCTTTTTGTCACAGGCACACACAGCAAATGAAACCTAGCAGTTATGAAGAAGTGACATACGCAGAGGAAGTTCTCGTGAAGGAGTGCAACTGAAAGTTAGCACAATACTGGAAATAACTTCAGCCTAGTTGGCCAAGTTCCTTTTACAATAACTAGCATGTTATAGTTCTGTAAATAGCTGGTACCTTTCCTCCAAACACGATCCGCCTCTGTCTGCTCTGCACATTTGAGCAAACTTCCAGTTACTAACCACCAAGTCTCACCACACAACTCAGAATGGCCAGCTTTATAGACTTTAAAAACAGACTTGCTCAGAAGTGGAAACCCCAGCTGCTAAAACAATAGCTGTGTCTTGGTTTCAAACTACAAACCAGTTGAATCCAGCATACTAATGCACTGCACTACATAGTAGTTAGTTGTCATTGTACAGTTTACTACTAAACACCACTATTTTCTTTTTAATTCTGAAAGCAGTGCCCAGCTTTTACATTTCTCTTTGTGCATTACTTCGTGATTAAAAAATAATTCACAAACAATACACCCCAAAACCTTTTTTTAATTGTTTTTTTTAAAATGAGAATTTATTAGGTAACTGGGACACTGCTGACCTTCTTGATTTGGTTTTTGATCCAGCCAAATTCTGCCATAGGCTCTTGGCTGCCCCCTGTAGGTTCGGTTCAAACTAACAAGTAATTGCTATGTGAAATCTGTACATCTAGAAGGATTACTCTGGCTAGAAAATAAAGCAACGATCTGTCATCACCTTGCTTTTTTTCTTTTTCAGTTGATAAGAGCACAGACTATCAGAACTACTACCAAGGCTTGTGGGACTGTTCAGGGGACCACCCAGACGAGCTGTCCTTCAAACGTGGAGATGCCATCTACATCCTGAGTAAGGTATGGTGAGGCTAAACCCTAGATGTCAGAGATAAACTGTGGCGATTCTTGTCTTTACGCACGATCAAGTTGGTATTACCTTAAATCCAACCACACTGCAAAAGTTTGAGAGGTTTGTAGACCGAGTGGCTGGTTTCAGACCACCTAAAGTGAGTTATTTCTAAGCTCTTAGAGGAACTGACTATTCAGATCCTTTACTGGCAGCACCTGGCCCACCGCCTAGAGGTGGAAGGCTGATGGTAAGAGGCAGACTGGGCTTGGTTCCTTCTCTGGCGCTCTGATGGGGATTAGTTGTGTCACAACGGAAACGGTTTTAGTGCTGTTGGCGGAGGCCGAGCTTAGCTGGCACACGGCGTAATTCCATCACTTCCATCTGGACTGTTTCAGCACGCTGTCGCTACTGCCATGCCAGGCAGTGAGCAGCCTTCAGCCCACACACACCTCTCAGAAATTTCTCTCACCTCGCCAAATAGGAATGTGTGTTTTCAGGAAAACCAGGCTGGTCAGCCACTCTATTCAGAGCAGGTGAGGACGTGTAATGGACGCACAATTTCCGAGGCTTGTCAGCTAGTCATGAGCCGGAGAACTGAGAGGCAGTTCTTTACCTTTATTATGTAACTAAACAGGAGCCCCTTTGTACTTAACCGCTTCGTATGAACGCTGAATTGGATTTTGTTGTGATACATTTAACAAGATTTGTTTTGGACGCTGGACAGAAAATGAGCAGTGGAATTTTATACTCGTCGAGATGTGTGGTTTGTCTTTAAAAAATATATATAAATAATGTGTGAAATGTGCTCCATCCAGACGGGCAATATTTCCTGTCTGGTTTGGTTTCTATGGAGCATGGAGTCAATTGAGACGTTCTGTTGTCAACGGGCCAGGTTGCTTTTCAAATTCAAGTCTGCCATCTACTGGCTCTTTATGGCAAAGAAGCCTTGGGGGAAATTTGAGAGGCATGTGCTGTACATTAAACAGAGATGCACAAATAAATAAATAGAATTGTAATATGCTACATAGTCATATTATTAACTCCATGTATAGCAGGAATCACTAGAAATTTATTTTTCACCTTTGAAATGTGTAAATAATTTTTAAAGCCCTTCTCAATTTTATATTGAACATGATGTCAATATAAAATTCAAGACAACTTCACCTTATTATCACGTTTAGGAGACTGGGACCAGAAAATTGCTCTCTCGCTCTCTGTTTTAAATACACTACAATAAAACGAAATAATGAATTATCAGGACTGTTGGTTTTCTTTTCATCAAATCAATTGATTGTTCCTTCAACACTAATGGAGGGACACAAATGCACAATGCAGACAGACTGTCCAATCCTCATTGACCAAATGCCTGTTTATGACTTCTCCTTGGTGTGTAGAAAAGGCCCAAGAATCAAGTTGCCCTTTCACTTAGACTGGGAGTGCCATTAGCTAAAACCTTGGTGTTGGGGGTTGTGGCCTGCTGCGAGGGCAATGACCATAAAACCTGTCTGGACTGCAGCAGCCAGCTGCAGCTAAATGGACAGCCGACCCCCCCCTCCGCCATTCCCTCTTCCACTGTTCTCCTTTCTCCCTCCTCCAATGTGTCCCTCCCCCATTCTGCAGACCAGAAATAGCTGTAGTGTTACAGCTGGGAGACCCCCCAGTCAGGACCTGGGAGCTGATTATAAGGCCCAACTAAGGGCGATTGTGTTGACCGGATATGCTGCACACCTCGTCGCCCCCAACACACACCCAGCCTCCCATTAGTAACAAACTGACTGAGAGATGCAAGGTCTCTCTGCTTAAAATGCCACAATATGTCAATTTGCTCTCCTTGCACAGCGTTTTATCCTATCACTGTTTTACACTTTGTGTTTTAACTAACGCACCGGGACTCTTTCATTTGGTGAAAGTAATCAAATTACAGGACGGTTGTTTTGACTAGCCGAGGGTATTTGTGTTGATGTGTGTTGTTGTGGTGTGTGGTGTCATTAGTCATCCACAGCTCTACATATTTGTTCTCATGTTGCGTCCAGCACTTACTAAAGCATGACTTATTTGTCAGCCGGCCAACGACACAATGAGGTGTTGCCGTTTTCAAAGGCTGGTGGCAGGAAGTCGTAATGTGGACGCACACTCCTTTACACACACCTCATGTCAAGCTGCTATATTAGCCTCCAGGGGCTTGTGATGAAATGACATTCTAGGAAAGTGGATTTAACATTTTCTGTTTGTCTGTGGTAGCTATGTAAACATAATTCTTTTTTATTATTTAAATTTAGTGTTAATAATTTAGATGTTTCAAATGGCTTTCTACAGCATTATATCGATTTGGCTGATACAGATACTGATACGGTGTGTCAAGCCTGTCTTTATCTGATGTGATAAATGGCCCGTCACCAGAGACCTGTCAGTGTCAGCCCTCACTATAGTGAGTGTAATCCCCCTCTGTCTAATACTACCATATGATCGCTTACATCCATTGCTCTGTCTTGGGAATAAGTGGACACAGATGTGGCCCTTCATTGTCCCCGAGTTCTGACTTGGATGTGAAACGTTGTCCAGGTTCGTCTT